CCGAGGCGCGTCCCAGTGAAGAACACGTGCTCATCGCCAACCACGTTATTAACTGCCACAAACCAGACATGGGCATGAGCAGCCTGGCAACTTTTGACCAAGACACGTTTGTTGTGAAAGATTCTAGCAAGAAGGAAGGAGGAGGAAGTTACCAGTGTGCTCATACTTTGCAAGATGGAGAAAGTAGCAACAGCGCCGTGAACGCTTTCTTTATTGAACGGATTGGGGGCACACCGTTGGATGAGGTCTTTTTTGTCGGGCGAGGTCATTTGTTGAGAAGTGTATTTAAAATGACTCGTACATTAATTAAGAAAGGAAAACTATAAAATAATGATGCTAATAGTCATGCCATAATTTACTTTTTCCGTGCAAAACATTGTAATGTAAACTTTGCTGTTAGTAAATCGGGTCCCTGAAATGTTTTTTTTTATATTTAATTATATTTTTTATTTATTTTTTTATATTTAATTTTTATACATGATACTATCAGTGGTAGTCTTTTTTCTGATAAAATTCACATATGGAAAGTTAAGATGTATAAGTAGTTTCAGATAATATTCTCACCTAGCAGTTCAAAATTTCATGACCTTTGCTTCAAGCTAGTAATTTGTTAGATCTTGATTATATGGAGTTATTGGGAGTGTCCACCATGAGGGGGGCGGACTTGTGTCACTTTATGATTTGTATGCGTACTGAGACGTGCAAAATGATTCTAGGACAATTCCCCCCCGGACAATTCCCCCCGGACTATTCCCCCCGGACAATTCCCCCCCAGGACAATTCCCCCCCGGACGATTCCCCCCCAAGAAATATATATTTATATACAAATATAAAGTAGAAAGTGTAAAGTTAAAAACATTTCTTTCTTTTTCATTAATATTTTTAGTGTGAAAATACAGCTTCATCATGAAACAAATTATTTTATAACAAATTCCTTTTTCATTGAGTACAAGTACAGAAAGATTTATTAAATATCTAATCAAAGTATAACCACCTATCCTTCANATTGAATTGAAAAAATATTGTGATATGTTTGTTGTATTCACAATTTTGTCCCACCGGATCCTGTGTGTTGCCCCACCGGATCCTGGCTTTGAGCTGAGTTTGACAACAACATTGTTTGAAAAGGAGGGAGAGGACCGACGGATGTCTTAATTTCTTTGAACGATGTGCGCATCGGTAGTTCAGTGGTAGAATGCTCGCCTGCCACCGGGCGGCCCGGATGCGCTTCCCGGCCGACGGAACATGTTTTGAACTGGTTTGATATTCAGATCTCTTATCTGTGCTATTTTTGTTCTCCCAGATTTTAAAAATATGTTGTTAACACTATGTTATTTACGTATATTTGCAAATGTATATTTAATGAGTTAACTTTTGACGCACACTACACCATGAGTATTGAAAGCGGTTTTTATTTGAATGGTAGCAGTAGAAAGGGGGGGGGGCGGGGGGGGGGTAGAATTTCAAAGACCAAGCCTTGGTATTTTTCGAAATACCAATGCACACTTTCTTAGTCCATAAGCAGTATTACTCAAACATAATGAACTCTTTGATTTCATTCAATATGTCTTTTATTTGAAATAATATTCCTGACTTGGGAGAGTTTGTTTTGAGGGAGAATTATTCCAAAAATGAGGAACTTGAAATTGGACAACATTGGCTGGGGTATCGGTCAGTGCAAACACATGCATGTTTCGCCGGATTTTATTTGTCTACATTAGTGAATGTACAAGTAAATAAAGGAATCAGATATTTTCTTTGGTTCGCTAAGCATTTTATTCAATAGATTTTAATGGCACAAATTCAAATCAACTTCAGTTTTGTGCTGTTAAGCCCCCTTTCACACTGGACGGCGTCCTTTCTGCGTCCCGTAGTACGACCCCGTTTGAGAGTAAAACAAACAAACAAAAAAAAAATAAATAAATAAATAAATAAATAAATAAATAAAAATAATTCTTTACGTGCCTACAACTGGTCAGTCATTGAACATTCATTCTGCTTGTGCCTCCTTTCTACGACCACAGCGATACCAGTTTCATGATCGCACAAAGGACACAGAGAGGACAGTGTAAAGAGGGGTTTAAATCTAAAAGAGAATATGTTTATTTGTTGAACATATAAACCATTTATGATAACTTTTTTAAAAATATTTCCCTTGTTTTTGGAAACTTTTTTGTATTTCTTTGAAATGTTCCAAAATACTTATGTCTGACAACTTCCTTTGCAGCGTCGTTTAGAATGTGTTGATGAACATCACTTCCGGCCAGTTTATTACCCGAGGCAATCTAATTTGCATATAAGAGAAAAATGCATTTTTTATTGGTTTTGAGTTGTGTACATATTTTGTATTATCCTTAAACGGTAATGCCTCCTTGCGCTAACAAACTTTAAAGATTTGATCGACACGCGCTGTTTATTAATCACATCATAGTAAAAACTTTCATATCACAGTTGTGAATCATGTTTCCACGCCAAAGTTATAAAATTGTTAAATAGCGCCGATAACTGCACTGGCCCAAAGTAGGTCAATTGTCTGTAGAAAAATCCCATACGATTATCGATTTTTTGCGTATGGACGGTTTTTGGGGAGGCACGAAAGAGAAAATTATCAAGATGCCAGCAAAATATTTGAGACTCTTGGAACCGCTTAAAAGAGAGTATATTGAACAGTTTTTAAAGGGCTAAAAGCTAATCGACTTCTTCAATTTTGAGACTTAAAAATTTGCAGACATTATGTCAGAATCTATATTCTTCTGACTCTCCCCACAATGTTGCAGACCGTGGAAACTGTTTCGCTGTTCATAGAGAAATGCGGAGTATGAATCCAGTAGCGGCACAAGGGGCAGGGTTGGGTGGATGAAAGAGGGGGGAGCTCACTCCCGTCACTTTTTCCAGTCACATCAGTCTCACGAGATGGAAGTGTGTGTGTGTGTGTATTGGAATAAATCATAAAAGTCATAAAATTTAATATTCTAACAGTTGAAATGATTTTAAAAACACTACGAGAAAAAATATTTGATTGAATGTTCCCTTGAATATATTCTTTTAGGCTAATATTATATTTATATTATGCGGGTGTTACTGCCAATCAAATGAAGAAAGGTTTAGTATAACGAGGTAACAAACAGTCTTGAAGAAGGAATTCTCCACCCCACCCAAACCCCATCCTCTCCCCTTTTGTGAGTTTTTCTATCATTCAAATCAAAGAGGTAGTGTTTATTTCTTTGTTCAAATAAACTACGTCAATACTCAAGAGCAGATGCAGATCCAGGATTATTTGAAGGGGGGGGGGGGGTCCAGAACAACGGGCCTTGGATCCGAAGCCGACCATAGCCCCCTTGGTGTGGGGTTCGGGGCCTGCTCAAGGGTCTCAAATTTTTTTGGGTACGGTTTAGAACTATGATTTAGCGAGTCAAAATTCTAATTTCAAGAAGGGAAATTCGTTTGATATAGGCCTACTTTTCAGAAACCGAAGGGGGGGGGGGGAGGGTCAGGCCTACTTTTCAGAAACCGAAGGGGGGGGAGGGTCAGGACCCCCCTGACCCACTCTAAACCCGCGACTGCTCAAAAGTGCACAGTGTCATACAGTGAAAACGAAGCCATGCCCGGTATGTGTATTGTGAATGTACCAGCAAAGAAGGCAGATGGTGTTGTAAATCACTGGCCAGTCATTTAGTAATAAAATTATGAAATCAAAGATGGGATGAAATATCGAATCCTAATACAGGGACGGATCGAGCAATGATTCGTATAGATTACTTTTAAATAACACAAATCTAAAGACTAAAACTTATTTTATAGGCCTACATGTACCTCCTGTATTTCTTTTAAGGAAAACAACTCTTCATATATGAGATTCATATTTCACAATAAATAACGGGGGTACATTGTTAACAACTAAAAGAAATATAAAATATTATTTTTAACCACCAAATGGCTGTTATCGCAGTTATTCTGGAATCTTTGCTTGGCACTGGACCACGTAACCTCCATAGATATGACTACCCTCTGTTATACTCTCTTAAGAAATTATAACAATTAAATAACCAAACTTTTTATTTAAAAAAAAAGGACTAACTGTGATGTCGGAACAGATTCATTAAACATTGGTAAGTACGGGAAAATTGTTGATTACCCCAGGAAAATCCATTTTTGTCCAAAAAGAACATTTGTTATTCCTTCAATGTCTAAATTGCGCCATAGACAGTGTTGGGAAATCGGCTGTCAAGCCTGTAGTTTTAAAAATTAAATTAAAATAAAAAACGATGATTCCAAAATAACATAAGCAATGTCTCTTAAGAGATCTTTTGTTTAAACCACTTATGCAACGCATGTTCCTTATTTGACTCGTTTAGCATGCACTGACCACGTAAAACTAATGCGTGTAAAACACCCTTTAGGGCCTACAGATGACGGCGTCCTTTCTGCGTCCTTTGTGCGACCATGAAACTGTGGTCGTAGACATTGATGTTTAGTCGAATGTTTTCGTCGTATTTTCCGTCGGATGTTTGGTCCAACATGTTTTAGGACAAGTTTTCCATTCGAACCAGCAACTTATTTTCCTAAGTGGCAATTCACTGGCCTACATTTGATATTTGACTACAAGGATAACTTTCTTTTCAATATTATTAAGCCCAAACGTGTTTGAAAAATAAAGAAATATATGTGTACGTGTGTGTATGTCTGTGTGTGTGTGTGTGTGTGAGAGAGAGAGAGAGAGAGAGGTCAGAGAGTGCGGGTGCGGGGGTTGGGGGGCAGTGGAGGATGAGCCAACAAAGATCATTTGGAACTGTCAGAAAATATCTCTGGATCCGCCCCTGCATTCGGTATTGCAAGCATGATCTTGATATATCATATAACACACATCAGCCGAATACTCTATAACGCGAACCTGTGGAAGGAAAGAAGGAATAGTGAAAGACCTAGGTACTCCATGCTCGGGGTGCCTCCTAGCAGGTGTGTACATTCATATGTGCGCATGCGCATTAAGAGAAGCCTTATGTCGCTCGTAACTATCGACTTTAATAAATAAGTAATAAATCAGTAAATATTCAAAACAGGAATAAGGGAAACAGCAAAATATAAAGTCACTTCAACTGAAAGCAAATTGCTCTTTTGATACTTAACAATGTTAAAGTAAATAAGGACTGGATTTTTAATGTGCTAAGCAAAGCTTTATTCATCATGGTGGTCTAACAAAGCTTTCTGCCGGAAAATCCTTTGTTTTATTGTTGTTTCTGTCTTTTAAAGGTAAGTGTAGGTAAGTGGTTGTAGTATTTTTCAAATTTCTCATTCAACATAAAAAATAACTCGAAGTTCAGCCACATTTCCTAATGAAAATATAAGTTATGTGAACACAAATACGACTTGTGGAGATGCAACCGGTCTGACAGCCCAAGAAAAGAACTCTGGGTCCCTTATGATTAGAACAGACTAGGGTTGGTCGGAGTATTGGGATAAGCATTTGGGAGAATGTCACCTATACAAAGTATTGGGGAACGGACTACGTTCCTAGCGGACTACAATTACTGTCACACGGGGCTGTACCGTTGTAAGTGTACAGTACCTAGTGCTGCACAACTGTCAACACAGTGTTAGACCTTAGGACTAAATGCAGTTATAATGTAGTCAGACCATTGCATCACTGTTGTTCATTATCCAACATACATAGTAAAGTTTTATGTAGAAGGTAGGTGTAGTTTGAATCTTGGTGTTTAACTTTACAACTCAAATTAACAAGCTTCCTAAAAGCTGTTTAAGGCCCTCCTCCTGTCTTGGTAAAAATAGCAGAAGTGTTAGGGACCGTTCACATGAAAAATCTATTTTCTAAAAATCTATTGGCGGTATCTTGTGATCACGGTCTGTGCCCTGAATACCCCGCGGCGTAATTACTGGCAGCGCGAGCGAGTCTTTCCAAAGCAGTAATTAATTCTCGGCTGCGCTCAGAGGAGATTCTGATGCCTTTTACAGTTTTTTTTGTGCTGGACAATCCTATGTGTTTTATTGATGCTTGTATCTGTAGCAAGGCCTTTAAAAGTTATTTCATAATCAGTATCTGAATCGTAAAAATAAAATTCTTCCTTGGTAAAATTTATAACTATGTTTTCATTATCAATTTACCTACCACACTGATAATTCAGGTACAGGGCAGAGGCAGTATGCCAAAGAGAAAAATTGCAGGCTCCCCAGAGGAGGGGGAGGAAGGGTCTTCTCATGGTGGAAAGAGAAGGAGGCGGTCAATACAGTATGATCCGGTAAGCACCCTTATGTTATCTCAGTTACTTTATAACTAACATGTTAAAAGAAATTAAGAAATATGTGCATTTTGAACTGAAGTGCATTAAAGTTATTGTACCATCTCTGGCCTTGACTGTTTCTATTTTGATCTTATGCCATATCTCATTTCCCTTGCACTCAGTGTCCTAGATATAATTATAAAAATACGTAACAGATTTTGGGCAGAACCAACTGGTCTTTGGTGTTTTACATACAAATGAGGCTGTTCTGATGGCCCAACAACAAGAATAGATAATAGATGGTTAAATAAATATGTGGGAAGTTATTTTGTGTTTTACCATCAGAGAGACACAGTTGTGATCTGAGTGATATAAACTACAAAATCTTCATGTTTTGTGTTATCCCAAACCATCTTGATAACAATTTGCCATACATAGAACTGTGTTGAGTTTTTGTAGCTTTTGTTTAGTTAGTTTATAGAATTCCCAATTGAATATAATTTCTTTTGTGCATACATATTTTAACAACTGTTATGAAATGTAGCTTTAATATAGCATTTTGTCCCTTATTTTTCTAAGTAGTTGACAGTATTTGTACTTTTGTGTTAGAGAGCATATTCTTTTTTATTTGATGAAATTTTTAACATGCTTTTTAACTGTAATCATTCTTTCTTCCCAATTAATTCTTTTTGGTGATTTCCATGTATCATTATTTTTGCTGCTGGTTTTTAAATTTTCCCAGTTGATAGCATGTTTTATTATTATTCTTATTTTCATAATACTTAAATCATCTTTGATTTTTTTCTCCCCGTGTCTATTGCTTCCACTTTTAGTTGTAACAGTTAATGTTCTGAGTGTGTTAGTATTTTTGGATCTTGTAGTTGTAATTTTGAAAGCATGCCTTTGTCCTCCGTAGCCTTCTCAACCCAAATCCAAGAAGAAGACACCTCAGTATGATCCAGTGAGTAAAAGTGCTACTGTGTTCCATGCTTGTGTGTTCTACATCTGCATTCTATTCACCATGTGTTGTTCACTGTGTTTGTGTATTCTGATGTAATTTACACTCTGGTGGTAAAATTAAAATATCTTTATATAAATTCAGATCACAAATTTTATGATACATTTTGCTTTTACCTGAATGAGCTGAAATATTGGGCAAATCTGCTGTTGAGATTAATTGAATTTTGTACTGTTAACAATCATTTAGAAATTCAGCTGTTTGTTTACAGTAAATATTCTGAAATCTGTTTGAATGAACCCCAGTGGCAGTATATGATCATAAATTGTCTTTTTGCACTTGTATTTGTTACGTGTTAAATGAAATTAACTGTAACTGCTAGCAAAAAGATTTCACAAACATATGCTGTGCCGTGTAAAGATTTATAATGAAGATGTGCACTTTGCATCAGTGTTTCAGACATAAATGGCAGAATGTTAACCTTTCTCTGTAGATTTGTGTAAAGAGTAAAATTTTGTACGTTATATCAAAATTAGAAGATATGTATTTGTTCAGTTTTTCAAGCAATATTGATTACTGGTAATAAAATAGTTTCAAATAATGATTGATATTTGACCACTAATATTCACAGCTTATGTTTTCAATTGTGAACAGTTTGTCTACAGTGCCCAGTGTCACATTAACACCATAATTCTTTACTTATCACAATATATTTTCACAGTTTGAAATGATGGTTTTTGCAGGTAAAAGTTAATAATTGATTGGATAATTTTCTTCAGCTGACTAAAATGTTTTAAAAGTGTTATCACTGATGTGTTTTGATATATATATAGATACTCCAACTGTAACAAAGCACAACTCTATAAGTAAGACTCTTTCCACATTGAACAGTATACTACTACAATACAGTCTTTACCAGTACACGTTGCATAGTCCAAACATGTAATTACACTGCGCAAGTTCTCTCTCAGACTGTACTAGTACAGATTGTATTGCCAAAGTATACTAGATATGACAAGGGCCTTATACACTGCACCCAAAGTCATTTGATGGCACTGACCTGTGGTATACATAAGAGAAGCATTTAACATTGCTAATCATGCTTGTTGCAATAATATGGAAACACTTGGCAATGCAATTGTGTCTCAAATTTTTACTGGAGGCAAAAATGTATGCTGTAGTGGGATTCAATTGGCAACATTCACCCCATTTCCATAGATTAGATCGACCTACTTTAGATCGACCTAACTCCCTGGGGGTTCACGCTAAATAGCTGTTAGCCGGGCGGACACGAAAGTTAATTACCCCCTTTACAGCTTGTAATAGGCGGGACGGACATTTAAGTCGGATTATCTGAAAGTAATCTAGTGAGACTCCCCGCGGGGATAGATCGATCTAAAATCTATGGGAATAGAGCCATAGATTGCATTGCTAAAAAGCAGTAGTGGCAGCAATATAAAATATGAATGATAGCAAAAGCATCTTGAATAATGTAATGTTATTTCAAGTGCTTTGAAGTCAGGGTGTGTTATTTTTTACAGTTGCCAAAAATAAATTGGCTTTAATGAGAGGAGTTTTTTTACTTATTTGGTAAACATTCAGAATTTCATATTTGGCCAATTTAAAAACTACAAAAGGCAGTGAGACCTCTTGATTGCTAATTAAATGTCATATTTCTGCATATTTGCAGATTTTGATCCAGAAAATATGATAATCGTATTGACTAAAAATAGACCTGATACAAAATAATACTTACTGCTTGGAATTTACTTGCTTACAAAAAGATTTTAAATGGGACATTAATGCATTGTATTTCTTTTACCATCACAGGCAATTCAGGTTTGTATGACAGTTGCATGCATGAAAAGAGAGACATTTTTTTAAACTTTTGAAAGCTGCATCAAATTGTCCATGTTGTCTGCTGTTTAAAGTAACAGTGTGTTATGAGAAAATAGACCTCATTGGATCTGTAAATAGTAATTTTGAAAACTATTCATGAAAATAAGGTCTGCGCTTCCCCCAAATCTTTCTTTCAAACCTTTACCTTAAACTTTGGTCTATTAACTTTTGTGCACAGATGATCGATCTATAATCAATCCCACCCCTGAAGTAACAAGCAGGGGGGGATGGGTAGTTTACACCAGGAAAGTTCTCGCTCACATCTGTAACATCATATGGCAGATATTGCTGACAGCTTGAGATATGAAGTCTAAAGTCTAGATGAAGTCTAGATCAAAGGGATTTTCAAAAAAAAAAAAAAAAAAAAAAAAAAGATGGATTTATTGAAATGAATAGTTTTCAAAACAACAGTGTGTTATGTAAGACATCAGAAGGAGTCTCATCTAACACATTAATTTAAAATGAGAGTTGTATTTATGAAAGTCATTCTGTGGTATTGATATCTTATTTTCAGATAAAATTAAAAGATGAAGGTTTTGAATAAAGTTTAAAGCACTAGATTCTAAGAAATGGAATTTTCTTAAAAACAAACACCAAATAATGTCTTTTAAATTCAGTATAATCCCGCAAGTTATTTGAAAATAGATTAATAAGCTGATACTACAGAGTGACCTGCATACTAGATTTTTAAAATAGTTTTCCAGTAGTTTTGCTACCTTTCTGCTACACATCTGCTATAGTAAGTTATATTATAGTAAGTAACATATTTTCTAAGTTCCAAAACTCATAGAAGTTGTATTCAGACTTAATTATTACCTTCAAATTAAGGGTGCATCACAGATTTTATTATTTATTATTTGGGTGGTCACTTTGCCATGGAATGGTTGTCTTGAATAATATCAAAGAAAAAAAAAAGCCATGTTTGAAGAACCAATGTGTAATAGTGCTCATAAGAGCAGAAATGTACCTGTGGTGGCTTTAGCCTAATCTGCACCGTGTATGAGCAGATTCTGATTTTTGATCAAATTTCAGTGTTAGACTTAAAGAATGAGTTATGGGTTAGTGCCAATGTGTTCAGTTTGTACTAAATGTACTCATTTTGGGTATCCTTTTTAAGTACTTGCAGTGCATGTAGCTGTAGCTTACTATTAGATTAGCTAGTTGAATTGTTGGGTGTTGACTTCATATCCATTGTTGATTCAGTAGTTCACCCAGATAGATTAAATTATCATCGTCATTTTGCACACCAAAATTCTAGAATTTGAGTACAAGAATAAGCATTTAGCGGTGAAGAAGAGACACTGAAAAGTTTTCAGAATAAAAAAGAACTTATACTCTTATTGTTTATAGAGTAATATTAACTGTAACATGTTGCTTAAGCAACATGTAGCATGTTAATTGTGAAATATGTTTATTTAGGTTCTGTTTGCTTTATAGGTATAGCACTTCACTGTTGCTGAGGCGTATCAATGTGATTGCAATGAATAATCTTTTTATTTCGTACTAAGATGAATGCTTGCACTATACTAGTGTGTTCTAATTTTATTCATTTGATTAGTATCCGTGGATGTAAGGAATCGCCTTCATTCTGCTTCAAGTCACTGCTTTACTTGTTATTTCAGTAAAAACTGTTTCTTTGTAAATGTGCTTTTCTTTTACTGAAATCTCTTTCTGTATATATATATAGATATAATCAGTTATATACTTTTTTGCATTTACTCCTAACTTTTTTGCCATCTTCTCTTGATCGAAGTAAAAAAAGCGAGTTTTTTCTAGTTTATAAACAATCTGCACAAAGTTATCCTTTTAACAGTTTTATAATTATATTTGAACATAAAAAATACGATGTCCACTTAAGATGGCCACTGAATGTTATCTCAGGAATGCCTCTGTTATAAAAAAGCAAACGTGAAATTGTTTCTTCTTTCCATGCATTTCTACATAGTAAGAGTAAAAGCAAAACAATTCCTGATAAATCAAATTTCATGAAGGCCAACAGTCAGCGTTTGGGTGATGATAATTGCTAAATGTCTCCCAACATATGTCCCTTGACACTGTGTGAATTTGATATTTGGTTTTTATTTTTTATTCCTGACAGAAGATATTATTATCTTCATTTTTCTTTCTTTAATGCTGAACAAGTTTCACTGTATTTCATTCACTTGCTCATTGCTTGTACTAACATTTCACAATATTTTTAACATGAAACTATTGCAGGCAAATAATATAAGCGACCAACAGAGTGACTCTGAGGTATTTTAACCAATCAGATTGTTTTTTACTGGAGAAAAATGTTCATTTGTATCTCTATTTTTGATAGGTCCAGATCTGTCAGGAACTGTATGACATCATAAGAACATTCAAGACAGATGATGGAAGAATTCTGTGTGAATCATTTATAAGAGTTCCAAAAAGAAGGTGATTTATTATTATTCATAATAATTGATATTATATTTTAGAACTATAAGTCAGTAATAAATGACTGAGAGAAAATAAAATTTCGGCACAATCTGCAGTTTTCAAAGGGATGCCAATACTTTTTCATAAATTTAAGAAAGAAGAAGAGATTTACCTGAAATGATACTTTGTGTGGTACCCAAAGAGTTACCATGGAAACAGTCTTTCATTTTTTTATAACATGGCAGATCCTTGCCTTTTATTGCACCTCCTTGGAGAATGGAGGATACCAGCTAGTCTGTGCCTCGTAAGCCTCGCCAAATCAAACCAACTATTCTGAAAGCTGAAATGTATGCAAAGTGAAAAAAATCTAAGAAAACCAACATTTATTTTACTAGTAATAGCGGACTAGTTACTAAAAAAAAAAAAATTTTGCACAAGTTTTATGTTGAATCTTTCAGTCAGTCCGAGAAATAGTGTCTAACGTGATCATAGACTGGATAATCCTGAGTACTATATCTTAAATGAACAATATATATCCTTTTCTACAGGGCTGCTGCTGACTATTATGATGTTGTCTCTCAACCAATTGACATGTTGAAGATACAGCAGAAGCTGAAGACAGATGAGTATGAAGACATTGAGCAGCTGACAGTTGATGTTGAACTTTTGGTCAGCAATGCTAAGGCTTATTACAAGGTGAGTCTAATTCCAAAGCGGCTTTGACAGGAACCAGTTTTTGTTTAGACATATATTTTTGCCTGAAAGAGCCTAGAGAAATGCAGATTATTTCAGGAACAAATTAGAACTGTATAGCTGGATTGCGAGTCCACACATTATTTAGAAAATTAATTATTGTATCTTCTCCATACCTGAAAAGGTTTTTCTTTTAAGTTAACTTTGTTTTAATTTTGTATGAATTCCCGGAATGAATCAAAAATACTAAATCTTTTATTTTGATATACTTTCACGTTTTTGTCCAATTGTTTTTCAGAAAAGCAGTCAAGAATACCAAGACGCCTGCGATATGTGGGAGGTCTACCAAGACTCCAAAAACGCTCTGATTGCTGCTGCGTTTGGTGAGCAGACACCTACAACAACACGGCGAAGAAGTCGCCGTATTTCCACAGCAAGTGAAAAAGAAGAAGAGGAAGAGGAGGAGGAGGAAGAAGAAGACGAAGAAGAGGAGGAGGATGAAGAGGAAGAGGAGGAAGAAGATGAAGAGAAGGAAGAGGAAGTGGAAGGGGAAGAGGGAGAGAAAGATGCAGTGGACAGCAAGACAGATGATAAAGTGGAGAAAAGTAAGGAGAAGGCTGAGTCATCAGCTGAGGATGAAGAGGAAGAGAATGAGGCAGAAGATGGAGGTCAGGAGACAGAAGAAGACAGCAGGAAGGAGGAACACAGTGAAAAAAGGGAGAAGAAGAAAGGAAGAGATAGGTCAAAAGAGAGCAGACGTTCAGTTAAAGAGGTAAGACATAAGTATTAATGCCAGTCTTTTACAAGCTAAACTTAGTACTCAATTTTTTGAAGACATTTTTTTATTCCTGTCATTGATGAATTTTTGGTCAAGATGTTTTTATTCATTATTGTTCTTCTTTACATTTTCTGTCTTCAAATAAGAATACTTTTGGCATTTGGTGTGTAATCCAATCTTAAAAGTGATCCTAGGGTGATGATAACAATTCAATCTATTTTCCAGAGTACTCCAGTCCCAGAGAAGAGGGGGGATCTTGTAGCAGAGGAGGAGTTAGAGAGTCAGCTTGAATGGCTCTTCTCAGCTGTCATGAATGCTAAGAATGGAGAAAGGAATGTTGCTGATCTCTTTCAGTTGCTGCCTTCTAGAACAGTGAGTTTTCCTGTCAGGCGTCATATCTGTCTCTGTCTCTATGAAGAAGATGGATAAAATGGCATGGGATGCTGGTTATGTTATCTCTTAAATTGAGCATGCTATCTTGTATATTAGGCTCATGGAAAGTGCATTATTTAGCACTTAATGCAAGACTGACATATTGTTGAACTTTTCGATGTTATATTTTTAAAGGGTAATGTCGGATGAACAATGTAGATTTCTCTCTGTCTACAGGATATTAATAAGTAATTGATATTTTGTCTAACAAATATTTTTATAGAATTTTTCATATCTTCATATCTTGTAGAAATACCCTGAATACTATGACGTCATTAAGGATCCAATAGACTTGAAGCAGATAGCCATGAAGATCCAGAGTCATGAATACAAGAGTGTGGATGAGTTGGAGAAAGATCTGCTCACCATGGTCAGCAATGCTAAAACTTTTAACGAGCCAGGCTCCTTCATTTATAAGGTATACAAACTTCAGAATCACTATTAAGGTTAAGGGTGAGTGGAACAACAAATATTTTCTTGCAGCGAAAATGTAGATTTCTCACAATTTTATGATTATGTAAGACAATTTGAAATAAGTAAGATAAAGACCACAGAATTTGGCCACTGGTTCTTTTTTCGATACGAGTGCAGTGAGTTTAGATTTTGAGCAATTTTAAAGTCTACATGCAGGGATGCTAGTCTTCCGGTTTTTACCGGAATTCCGGTTTTTTGCGTCCAGTTATAAAATTTTCTGGTACTATATTTTGTTCCGGAATTCTCGTTTTTAACGTGGNAATTGATATTATATTTTAGAACTATAAGTCAGTAATAAATGACTGAGAGAAAATAAAATTTCGGCACAATCTGCAGTTTTCAAAGGGATGCCAATACTTTTTCATAAATTTAAGAAAGAAGAAGAGATTTACCTGAAATGATACTTTGTGTGGTACCCAAAGAGTTACCATGGAAACAGTCTTTCATTTTTTTATAACATGGCAGATCCTTGCCTTTTTTTGCACCTCCTTGGACAATGGAGGCACGCAAGGGACACCAGCTGTTCAATTTAGGTTTACAGCACATGGTCGCTTGGACTTGTAAGCCTCACCAGATCAAACCAACTATTCTGAAAGCTGAAATATATGCAAAGTGAAAAAAAAAAAACAACTAAGAAAACCAACATTTATTTTACTAGTAATAGTGGCCTAGTTGTACTTTAAATAAACAAAAACATTTTGCACAAGTTTTATGTTGAATCTTTCAGTCAGTCCCAGAAATAGTGTCTAACATGATCATGGACTGGATATTCCCAAATACTATATCTTAAGTGAACAATATATATCCTTTTCTACAGGGCTGCTGCTGACTACTATGATGTTGTCTCTCAACCAATTGACATGTTGAAGATACAGCAGAAGCTGAAGACAGATGAGTATGAAGACATTGAGCAGCTGACAGTTGATGTTGAACTTTTGGTCAGCAATGCTAAGGCTTATTACAAGGTGAGTCTAATTCCAAAGCGGCTTTGACAGGAACCAGTTTTTGTTTAGACATATATTTTTGCCTGAAAGAGCCTAGAGAAATGCAGATTATTTCAGGAACAAATTAGAACTGTATAGCTGGATTGCGAGTCCACATTATTTAGAAAACTAATTATTGTATCTTCTCCATACCTGAAAAGGTTTTTCTTTTAAGTTAACTTTGTTTTAATTTTGTATGAATTCCCGGAATGAATCAAAAATACTAAATCTTTTATTTTGATAAACTTTCACGTTTTTGTCCAATTGTTTTTCAGAAAAGCAGTCAAGAATACCAAGACGCCTGCGATATGTGGGAGGTCTACCAAGACTCCAAAAACGCTCTGATTGCTGCTGCATTTGGTGAGCAGACACCTACAACAACACGGCGAAGAAGTCGCCGTATTTCCACAGCAAGTGAAAAAGAAGAAGAGGAGGAGGAGGAAGAAGAAGAAGAAGATGAAGAAGAGGAGGAGGATGAAGAGGAAGAGGAGGAAGAAGATGAAGAGAAGGAAGAGGAAGTGGAAGAGGAAGAGGGAGAGAAAGAAGCAGTGGACAGCAAGACAGATGATAAAGTGGAGAAAAGTAAGGAGAAGGCTGAGTCATCAGCTGAGGATGAAGAGGAAGAGAATGAAGCAGAAGATGGAGGTCAGGAGACAGAAGAAGACAGCAGGAAGGAGGAACACAGTGAAAAAAGGGAGAAGAAGAAAGGAAGAGATAGGTCAAAAGAGAGCAGACGTTCAGTTAAAGAGGTAAGACATAGGTATTAATGCCAGTCTTTTACAAGCTAAACTTAGCACTCAATTTTTTGAAGACATTTTTTTATTCCTGTCATTGATGAATTTTTGGTCAAGATGTTTTTATTCATTATTGTTCTTCTTTACGTTTTCTGTCTTCAAATAAGAATACTTTTGGCATTTGGTGTGTAATCCAATATTAAAAGTGATCCTAGGGTGATGATAACAATTCAATCTATTTTCCAGAGTACTCCAGTCCCAGAGAAGAGGGGGGATCTTGTAGCAGAGGAGGAGTTAGAGAGTCAGCTTGAATGGCTCTTCTCAGCTGTCATGAATGCTAAGAATGGAGAAAGGAATGTTGCTGATCTCTTTCAGTTGCTGCCTTCTAGAACAGTGAGTTTTCCTGTCAGGCGTCATATCTGTCTCTGTCTCTATGAAGAAGATTGATAAAATGTCATGGGATGCTGGTTATGTTATCTCTTAAATTGAGCTTGCTATCTTGTATATTAGGCTCATGGACAGTGCATTATTTAGCACTTAATGCAAGACTGACATATTGTTGAACTTTTCGATGTTATATTTTTAAAGGGTAATGTCGGATGAACAATGTAGATTTCTCTCTGTCTACAGAATTTTAATAAGTAATTGATATTTTGTCTAACAAATATTTTTAAAGAATTTTTCATATCTTCATATCTTGTAGAAATACCCTGAATACTATGACGTCATTAAGGATCCAATAGACTTGAAGCAGATAGCCATGAAGATCCAGAGTCATGAATACAAGAGTGTGGATGAGTTAGAAAAAGATTTGCTCACCATGGTCAGCAATGCTAAAACTTTCAACGAACCAGGTTCCTTCATTTATAAGGTATACAAACTTCAGAATCATTATTAAGGTTAAGGGTGAGCAGAACAAGAAATATTTTCTTGCAGCGAAAATGTAGATTTCTCACAATTTTATGATTATGTAAGACAATTTGAAATAAGTAAGATAAAGACCACAGAATTTGGCCACTGGTTCTTTTTTCGATACGAGTGCAGTGAGTTTAGATTTTGAGCAATTTTAAAGTCTACATGCAAGTCAATTATTTCAGTCACAATTTTTTCTTGGTTCAAAATGTACTATATCTTATATCTTCTTAGTATGTTATTACAAGACAAAGAGAACACAACAACATCCAAAGATATGAAATACATTTTCAGGATGCAGTGATGTTGAAGAAACTGGTAAAATCCAAGAAGAATGAGTTGTGCAATTCTGATAGAAGTGCAGGAAGATCTACCAGGTAAACGGAAGAGAAATATTCTGGATTTTAAACAAATGATTGAGGGGCAAAAATGCACTCCTGTCTTGCCATCTTGATATATTGCAGTGTTATTCTGGTTCTAAACTGCATAAAAAACTTGCGTCAAAAACTATTGGAATTTTTAACCTACTTTGAAAACTCTATTGTCTTGTAAACCCATACAAACAATTGTGTCATTTTGTAAACCTATGCCAGGCTGTATACTTCATTAAACCCTTGTCAAAGACTGCCATACCTTTTAACCCTCAAGAACCCATATTAGATCACGTTTTAACAAACTGGTTTTGACCAGTCAGTATTTTTGATTTACATTTTCTCATTTTTAGGTCGAAGAGGTTCTTAGTAGTGAAACAGAAAAAGTTTTACAGAAGGTATAATGAAAAACCATTATTCAAAAAAACAGTTTTGTACTAACCAACTTTTTGAGTTGAATGTTTTGTTTTTTTTTGCAGGTCAGAGATTGCCAGACAGCTTGACAACAATTTTTAAGTTTTTCAAATAAGATATTTCCAGATATTGAAGTACTTCAGCATCATTCTTACAGAGTTTCCTTTTAATTTGCAGTTTTCTTTTCTTTTGTATTTTTAGCCCCAAAAGAAAGCCAGGCCAAAACTTCCTTCTACTGCTTTTGGCAAACTCAATACTCCCTACTAAAACTTGCGTTTGGTTGAATGTTAAAATGTTTTTCAATTGTTGTTATACCTTCAAGTTTTTACTAATCATTGTTGTTCATTTCGATTTTTCATGTTCAGATTCAATGGCATTTTTACAAAAATAGTTAGCAACTGATGTTTAAATCAGTTATATCTGACTGATAACATATATTTTTCTTTACAGGCCAAAGAGGAACCCAGGACCAAGACTCTCTGCCATCTGTGCAGCCCTGAAGTACCCCGAGGATGAAGAGGAGGAGCTGAGTGAGATAGCCAGCTGTCATGACCAGCTCAGTCAGATGGATTATGAGGAGGATTCAGCAGAGGAGGGCTCTGTGACAGAACCAGAGGAAACTGTGCAGTGGGTGCTGTTTAATGCAGTGAAGAATGCCAAGAACTCCTTAGGCCAGGGATTGGCAGACCCCTTCTTGAAGTTGCCCAACAGAAGGTGTGTTGCTGTTTTTATTTTCCTTTTTGACTGTGTTCAGACTAAAATTTTGGGCCCTGGCTAAAACACTCACAGTTTCAAATCTTAAACAATGACATTCATCGTTTCTGCTTTGTCTCAATCAGTTGTGACTCTGAAATTAAGATTGACATAATTTCTGTATTGTCTACAAAAACATGCATACAAACAAAAATTTTAAGGATTAGTTAGTGGTTCATTTCATTTGAGGAATATTTTGGGCATATTAAAGATTTAATGTAAAATGTGCAACTTTTTGTATTTTTGTCACATGTTTATTTTCATTACGTCTTTTTTATAAAATGCAGAAAGTTATCAAAAGTGTTGTGAAATGTTTTCAGCTTTATGCTGTCTATTTGTTAGGTTCTACCCTGATTACTATGAGGAAATTCATCATCCAATGGCTATGATGCAGATCAGGAAAAAGATAAGGGTGAGGCAATTGTAAAATATTATTAACATTGTCCTTATTATTCAGTTTAAATAAAATTTTCTTCAACAACAGCTAAAGTCGGTATTCTAATAGTCATTTGCACTCCAATATTTCTGTTTCTATCAAATCACTTTCTTCAGGGATTAAGGGTCAGGAAATATTTAACCCCTAACTGTATTTATCTGCCTGTATTTACTGGACATGTGCAGTTTTTATCACATTTCCTGCATCTCACTAAGCAGGTGTTTATTGAATCAGTAAATTATCTCTATACAACTCGAGTACAAGTAAACCAAGGCATTTTCCCAATCAAAAATCGTAGCAATATATATTTATAAGAAATGTGCTTCACAGTGATGGATTTGTTCCCACTTTCTAGCAAGGGAAGTACAGCTGCCTGGAAGAGTTGTCCTCAGATTTTGAGCTGATGTTTAGAAATGCCCAGCAGTACAACACAGATGAGTCCAGAATCTATAAGGATGCCGTGAGACTGCAGAAGATAATGAGGACCAAGAAAAAGGAGCTTGAGAAATTGGAGATGAAGGTAGAGGGGACAATAAAGAAGGGAGAAAGGCAGATTTAGTGAATTAACACTGTTATTATAACAACATTGTGGCTACTCACTGCATAATTTGTGAAAGTTCAGATTACCATTTTATTATAATATTCTTTTTTATGCCATTTATTCATTGATTATATGTAGAACAGGTATGAAATGGAACAAAATGTGTACATCTGGTTTAGGCTCCATCTGGTGTTGAGTCTCGGGTGCCAAAATTTTAAAACCTCCATATTCTTAATCATTAACTGCCCCAGTATTGTATTTCTTATTTCAGTAGGTAACTGGTCCTTTAGTAATTTAATTTGATTGCTAGTGGTAAATGAACAATATTTGAGGTAGACAGAAAGTGAATTTTACATATATCTGAAACCATCTTCACATTGTTGAGAGGTGGAGCTGTTTAGATGAGTATCATTTAGAGACAAAATTGATGAGTGTTTTTATAATATCAAAGTTGGATACTTTCAGATGTATTATTTTTACCATAAAAGAGCTGGTATATTGCTACACATGTGAAAGGGATATCTATCTCTCTTGCAGCTTTTAACCCCTGTGTGTATACAACTGAAGAAGTGTTTTTATATATTCAGTTTCCTCTGTGCATCAAGTACCTTGCACCATTTAAGGTTTCCTTTTAGTAACTTTATTTTCCTGTTTTTTTAGAGTACCTTTAGTTTTTAAACTATTTTGTCATTATCACTGAAATCAGAAGAATTGCTGAGATGTTTGTTTATTGGTCCAAGTTTTGTTTTGTAAGGGTTGAATTTAAAGGTTTTTAAAAAATTTGTTATATGAACAACATAGTTCTGTTTCCTCAAAAGGTGCTGCCTTGGTTCCCAGAATTTCAAATTATAGAGAGTGAATTGCCACTAAAACTGTGAACAGTGAAAATTGTATTTTTTTAAAGCTTTAGCATCTGCTACAATATTATATTTAATATACTACATAATACACTTTAGTACCCGCCATTATTGCCATGTCTATTCATGTGTAGAGGCATAAGTAAATTATTTAATATCTACCTTTGACCTTGAACCGACCTTGCTGACCATGACACCATTTCCTCCTTTTTTTTCTACCCCTGAACATTAGGAGGTATTAGAGGATTTACCCTCGTATGATTTGGAGGTAATTATGCTTAAATCACGTATCATGTCTGCCAAATGATAGCCTGGGTAGCTTAACAGTCACATGAAATTACAATGTTTTGAAGTTTCTCTAAATTTTAAGCAACATTTTTTTTCCAAAATAATTTAAATAAGACATTTTAGAACAATGATTAAGGAAAAACCCAAAGAATCTTACCTTAGGTGCTTGATTTAGTAAGTAAACTAAATCCAATTTGATTTTGAAATTTTTATCTTTGATTTAAGATATAATCACTACAGTCGATTAGACTACTAAGGTACATATCTTCTAAACAAATATTTCAAATTGTAAAGCTACTTAAGGCTAACAGCAGGGCATAAGGAAATTCTTTTTACTGTTTCCCTGTCTCCCTTCTCAGAGGATGTCATACATCATGAATTTATTTAATGGGCATGCTTAGATTTATCTGTAAGCATAACCTTCCTGTCATTGAAAGGCAAATATGTTCTTCTCATCATTTTTGATTTTTATTTTTCTAATTGTCATTGAGAAAACTTGAAATAGAGTTTTGCCTTCTATCTAACAGAAAATGACCAAAGGACAGTATTTGTTTTGAAAAAAAAAATACTGTTCATAACATGTTTGCCTGTCAGTTTTCTGCTTTATTAAAATGCATGCAGATGTGGCGGAATTAGGAAGAGTTGTAGATGACACTTTACTGCTGACATACCCGGATGGCTGCCTTCATGTCCTATCCTCAGCTTATAGAAGTTTGTGTAGCAGTATTCCGCTCCTGTCAATGTGGGCTTTTAGAAAAATGTCAACTTTGGCCTGGCCCTAACTTTTAAAATAACCTTGACATTGTTATTGACCATGGAGTAGCCTTGACCTTAATTTGATATTTGACCTTGACCCTGTTTTGCTGTGACCTCGCTGTACTGATTGTGGGAGAATTCATTATAAGGAATTGACAGCTGTTGGTGATGATGGATTATTTTTGTCAGACTGCAAACTCTTTGTTGTCTCTTATTTTTTTTACTCCATTTCAGAACCTTAAAGACATGTGTTATATTAAACTGAATTAATCCTTATTTTAACCTTTATTTTGTTCAGTCACTGATTATTTTTGCATTCTGTACTATCTGTAGCATACGTTGTTTGATTTGTGAATGAGCATATAAAGTTATAGTAGACTATTAAATTTTTATTTTCTTAAACAATATCAGTGGCCCAAACCAGCTATATTGAGAGGAGAGAGTGAAAATGCCAAGAAATACTGATGTTCCATAAAGTCATTGTCATAACAATTAAAGCATGCTCTAAACAGATATATGTAAAAATGCCCTCTTTTTAATGAATTTGCTTTAATTGTGATCTCATGCTTATTAATAATGGTGTTTTTTGTGTAGTCCTTGTTTTTACATAGTTTAGCAGAAATTTGATTTAGTTAAAATATACTAGTCTTATATACATCTTTCAAAAAGCATTAGATTTCAACTTTCCTCCTTATATCCTTTTTTAATCTGGATTTATTGTCTAATTTTTATATGTTTCTTCTGTTTAAAATAATTTTATATTTCAAATTTTCAACAGATAAATAACTTATCTATTTTTAACATCTAGATTAGATTCTGTTCTTAATTAAGACTTTTTACAAACGATGGTTGTACAGATTAGGTGAGGTGCTTTTTATGATTATTAATAACTTAATGCACTGTTAGATCTGTCAGGTGGCATCATCTTCACATTTAATATGGAAATAATATCTGATGTCTGTTTTTTTAAAACAAATTGGCTGAAAATTTTTGTTTTGAATCAGATGTAGCTCCATGTTCAAAGTCTCAGGCAGGTCTCCATGTAGGTTGGCTTCACCAAAGACTGAAAATTGGTCTTGACTTTAGTACCAAACATTATAGTCTGCTTCAGTTCAATAACAAGATAAACGGTAGTAGTCCACTTAAAGAAAGCAACTACTGATCTTTTAAAAAAATCATTTGACATTTCTTTCTTTTTATTAATCAGGATTAATGTCCTATTAAACTGAGCTACCATTAAATTATTTTTGGCTAATGTAGACAATATGTTTTTGATTTGGGGAGAGTGGTGGGGTGTTGTGGGGGGGGGGGGGGGTAAAGTTGTTTTGTGAAAGAGGGCCCCAGGTCTAAGTTAGCCCTGATGTGAACCTGCCTTTTGACTTATTTACAAGGGGGGAATCCTATTTCCC